ATCTCCATTTTTATTGATCAAATGGTTGTTAACAACAATAAAATTCTGTATAGGGAACTCAATGCACAATCATTAATCAACCCCAAGCCTGATTCTCAACAGTCTCCAATCTTCTTATTTACCTCCTTTTATGCTGTATTTATATTGCCCTTCATACTAAATTGTTGATGAATCTATAAAATTTAATTAGTTACATGCATTGTACAATGACTTTGTATTTAAAGTTTTATAATTCAACTGTGTATAAACTTAATTTTTATTACAATTTTTTATTAAGGGATTATTGATATGCATTCTGATGAAGGTTTCACTTGAAAAACAATATGGTTACTACAGTCACCCATATTATCGAGTCCCTGCTCATACCCCATTAAAATCACTGTCCATCAGTTGTAGTAAGATGCCACAGAGTCACTACTTGTCTTCTCTGTGCTACGCTGTCTTCCACATAATCCCCCCCAACCATGTGTACTAATCATAATACCTCTCAATCTGCTTCTCCCCCACTCCCTATCACCCCTCCTCCACCCCTCCCCTTTGGTAACTGCTAGTCCCATCTTGGAGTTTGTGAGTCTGCTGCTGTTTTCTTCCTTCAGTTTTGCTTTGTTGTTATACTCCACAAGTGAGGGAAATCATTTGGTACTTGTCTTTCTCCATGTGGCTTATTTCACTGAGCTTAATACCCTCTAGCTCCATCCATGTTGTTGCAAATGGTAGCATTTGTTTTATTCTCATGGCTGAATAGTATTCCATTGTGTATATGTACCATCTCTTCTTTATCCGTTCATCTACTGATGGACACTTAGGTTGCTTCCATATCTTGGCTATTGTAAATAGTGCTGCAGTAAACATAGGGGTGCATATGTCTTTTTGAATCTAGGATCTTGTTTTCTTCAGGTAGATTCCTAGGAATGGAATTCCTGGATCAAATGGTGTTTCTATTTTTAGCTTTTCTGAGGAAACTCCGTATTGCTTTCCACAGTGGTTGAACTAATTTACATTCTCACCAGAGGTGTAGGAGAGTTCCGCTTTCTTCACATTCTCTCCAGCATTTGTTGTTCCTTGTGTTTTGAATGTTGGTCCTCCTAACTGGTGTGAGATGATATCTCATTGTGATTTTCATTTTCATTTTCCTGATAATTAGCAGTGTGGAGCATCTTTTCATCTGTCTGTTGGCCATCTGAATTTTTTCTTTGGAAAAATATATGTTCAGATCCACTGCCCATTTTTTAATCAGGTTATTTGCTTTTTGGGTGTTGAGGCATGTGAGTTCTTTATATATTTTGGATGTTAACACCTTGTCAGATATGTCATTTACAAATATATTCTCCCATACTGTAGGATGCCTTTTTTTTCTGCTCATGGTGTCCTTTGCTGTATAGAAGCTTTTTAGCTTGATGTAGCCCATTTTTTTATTTTTGCTTTTGTTTCCCTTGCCCAAGGAGATGCGTTCAGGAAAAAGTTGCTCATGTTTATATTCAGGAGATTTCTGCCTATGCTTTCTCCTAAGAGTTTTATGGTTTCATGACTTAAATTCAGGTCTTTGATCCATTTTGAATTTACTTTTGTGTATCGGGTTAGACAATAATCCAGTTTCATTCTCTTGCATGTAGCTGTTCAACTTTGCCAACACCAGTTGTTGAAGAGGCTGTCATTTCTCCATTGTATGTCCATGTCTCCTTTATCATATATTAATTGACTACATATGCTTGGGCTTATATCTGGACTCTCTAGTCTATTCCATTGGACTGTGGGTCTGTTTTTGTGCCAGTACCAAATTGTCTTGATTACTGTGGCTTTGTAGTAGAGCTTGAAGTTGGGTAACATAATGCCCTCTGCTTTATTCTTCCTTTTCAGGATTGCTTTGTCTATTCGGGGTCTTTTGTGATTTCATAGGGATTTTAGAATAATTTTCTCTAGTTTGTTGAAGAATGCTGTTGGTATTTCCTAGGGATTGCATAGAATCTGTAGATTGCTTTAGGCAGGATGGCCATCTTGACAATATTAATTCTTCCTGTCCATGGGCATGGGACATGTTTCTATTTATTGGTATCTTCTTTAATTTCTCTTAAGAGTGTCTTGTAGCTTTCAGGGTATAGGTCCTTCACTTCTTTGGTTAGGTTTATTCCTAGGTATTTTATTCTTTTTTATGCAATTGTGAATGGAATTGTTTTCCTGATTTCTCTTTCTGCTAATATCACCTTAATTTTAAAAAATAATTTGTCAGGAATGATTTTATAGCAGCTCTGAAAGTAAACACTTATTTATTTATTATTGCTTTTTTTGAGATATACTTGATATGCAATATTATCTTGGCCTCAGGTGTACAGCAGTTATGAAATGCTCACCACGATAAGTGTAGTTACCACTGTTGTCATATAAAGGTATTACAATGTTGTTGACTAAATTCCCTATACTGTGCTTTTTATTCCAGGAATAAAAATTATTTATTTTATAATTGGATGTTGTTCTTTATCCCCTTAACCTATGTATCTCCCTGTCTTCCTCCTCTATAGCAAACACCAGGGTATTCTCCATGTATATGAGTCTATTTCTGTTTTGTTTGTTCATTTGTCTTATTTTTTAGATTACACATATAAATTAAATCATACAGTGTTTGTCTTTCACTGTCTGACTTATTTTGCTTAGTAATAACCTCTAGGTCCACCCTGTTGTCACAAATGGCAAGATTTCATTCTTTTTATGGCTGAGTAATATTCCATTGTATGTATATACCACATCTTTATTCATATTTCTATCAATGGATACATATTTCTTCTATAACTTGGTTATTGTAAATAACACTGCAATAAACCTGGGATTGTATATATCTTTTGGCATTAGTTACTTTGTTTTCTTCAGGTAAATTCCCAGAAGTAGAATAGGTGAATAATATGGTATTTTTATTTTTATTTTTTTGAGGAAAATGCATACTGTTCATAGTTACTGCACCAATTTACATTCCCAACACAGTGCACAGTGTTCTTTTTTCTCCACATCCTTACCAACATTGTTATTTTTTACCTTTTTCATACTAGCCATTCTGACTTATAAGAAGTGATAGCTCACTGTAGTTTTGATATGCATTTCTCTAATGGTTAGTGATGTTGAAAATCTTTTTATGTGCCTGTTATCCATATGCATATATTCTTTGGAAATATGTATGTATATTCAGTTCCTATGCCTGTTTATAAATCAGATTTCTTTTTGGTGTTGAGTTGTAATAGTTCTTTACATATTTTGCATATTAACTCTTTATTGGATATGTCACTTGCAAATATCTTCCCCATTCAGTTGGTTGCCTTTTCATTTTGTTGATGGTTTCCTTTGATATGCAGAAGTTAATGTAAATACTTTAAATGAGTAATGGCTATTTGTTTTTTCTGTGGGAAAGCCAACCTAAAGTAACAATCTTTGTTGATGCTTGCTCAGATCAGGTGGACCAAAACAGCAGGAAGTGCCTCTGACAGATTCCAAGACTCAAGTGTATTCAATGAGACTTTGAGGATTACAAATATTCAGAGACACCAAGGAGGCCGTTATTACTGTAAAGCAGAGAATGGCTTGGGATCCCCAGCAATAAAGTCAATCAGAGTGGATGTGTACTGTGAGTAAATTTCCTAGAAAACTATGATTAAGTCTATTAATGATTTTTTCTGCTCCTTAACTTGAGATTTATTTTTTATTATTACATCTATTGAAAAAAACTATGGTTTGTTCCATAGAATAGAATTCTGTTTACTTGATAATAAAAAGTATGTAAGATAATAAATAGGTTATTGAATATATTTCCTGAAGAATCTCCATTAGAAATTTTTATGATAAAATAATCCATATTTATTATAGAACGTTTAAGAACCAGAGTAGTAAGAAGCTATGATAATCCTACCAATAATTGTTAGTATTTGAATGTAAATGCTTCCTATCTTTTTACGTAAGTATATAAATGCTTTTTTTGACATTTGCATAACAAAAGAATTGTGCTTTACATACTATAAATTGTTTTGTTAACTTCTGTGTGATTGACCTATTTTTATTTTTTTAAATGCATATCAAGTAATTGGAGCTATTTGAATTGGCTCGTGAATGACCAAAATCTCTAGGTAGTCTTCTTTTGATCCAATTCTGTTGAAAGTAATCAGTACGTTGGGCAATGCTACGCTGCTTGGAAAGTGTTTTTTATTCTTAGTCTCTTTTTTCTATTTTTTTGCTACTAGCAAATATATTTAAAAGCCTATTTGTCTCCTTACTTTCTTCCCACCAAAAGAAATCAAGGGTCTACATTCGGTTTGTTCTTTGCACATGTTTATAAATCACTCCATCGTATTTTCACAAGAATTTACATCTTATTTTTAAATTCTTTAGTGTTAGAATAAAAGGAATTTTTTCTTTCCTTAAAGTAATTCAGTCATAAGTAACAAGGGAGGAGTTCCTGTTTTCCTACCTATCTTTTTTTCTTTCATTCTTTCCCCTTTCCTTTTCTCTTTTTTTTCAACATGGAACAAATGTTGTATAGTTAGCAAGGCAATTGGAATTATTCCTGATCTATTTATTAGACTCTTTGCTGAATCTCATTTAATTATTCAGGTGACTGGGAAGTGGGTGGCAGGGCTGCACTGGTGATTCATCTTCCACATTCAGGTTCTTGTTCTTTTCCAGGAAAAGATGAGAGAAAAATATAGAAAAGTCCATGTCCCATTTTCTCTAGCATTTTCTAGCACCATAGTCACCCCTAGCACACTTCAAGTCCCTGCTTCCCATGTGCTGCTCTTTCCCTGCCCTCACTGGTGCACAGGTTGGTCTTAGCCATAGGTCTCCCAACCACAGCATAGCTCCTAACCCTCCTTTTTCTAATCAGGTAATTCCAGTTACATATACTTTTTTCCAAGTAACATATTTTTATTAGTGTTTTTGTTCAGATATAATTTTAAATTACACAAATTTAATTTAAATGAATTAAGTACTTTTATAACATAACTTTCTAGAGTGCATACCTGTTCTTTTTTTATTAATATAGTTTTGGTCATGTAGTTTTAAAATGCACAACTTTAATAATACAATTCTGAAATTTAAGAAGTTCTGAAAATTGAAGGGATGTGTTTGATTTTGTTGGGTTTCATTGGTAACTCTTTTCAGCAAAAGCTGATGTGAACTAGTTTGGCGGCAACATCTGACCTGAAATAACTCAAATAGAAAAATAGAAGACTTTTTGTATTTTATTTACCCTACTTTTTATGAATAAGCATATGTTTTGCTCATTACATAATGTTTTTGATTATGCACTGTCACCACAGATCCTGCTGTGTGTGCTATGTGACCCATGGCATATATACTGTATTATCTTTCTGAAATCTGAGCTATTCTGAGAAACATTCCCCAAAGGTTTTGAATTAGAGGTTGTGACTTGCATTAGGTTTGATAATAATAGGCATACCACAAAGATATTGTATCACTGGGTTAAGAATCAAATAGAAAATGGGAAAGTGGAAAATTATATTTTTAAGGACTTTAAAAAATATTCTTCTGTCCTCTTCTTACTAAAATATCTTTCCAGTACTGTTGCGCATTGTATCCATTCCCTCCTACCTGTTCATCTCTTGTTGTCCTGATTCAGCTGTGCCTTGGTATGTTAGTTCATATTACACACTGTGGCAGAAATGATAGCACTGTCCTCTCCAGTTTTCCAAAGCTCTGTTAGTCTTTTCCAGCTGTGTCACCTCCCAAGCAGCCATGTCTGAAGACGCTAACACTGTTCCCTTCCTCTTTGATTTATCTTGAGATTTTTCGCATACAATCTGAACCTGTAAAACATCTCATTCTATGTTGTTTAAGTACATGTAGTGTGGTGCATACTGTACTGAAGTACTATTTTCAGTACTTTATTTGGTGATCAGGATTAAGATGACTGTCTAAAATTATATTATTTGAGAAAATAATATGTATTAAATTGTGGACTCTATGAATAAATGTAACATGTCTCTAATATAAAGTTTCCAGAGAATGCCTTACCTTCAGCTCCAGGAAAAATCTTTCTTATGGAGATGTAGAGATGCATTTTAAGTAGTTATACCTATTCTTGAAGGTTTGGATAAATCGATTTCTTCAGGTGGTATAGTTTCAAACATGTTTTGACTGATAACAATAGTTACAATAGAGACAACTATGTGTATTTGAGGAATCCATGTATTCCAACTATAACCTTGATTGAAGACTATAGCTTTTAGGTTGAAGTATGTTTTCTCTACATGAATCTTTATAACTTAAAACCTATTCTATCATTGTTAATAAGAATGTGACTAGCATATTAATGAGCTTAATTTTGGCAACTTGCTGTCTGAAATTGGATTACAGCTTAAAGTTTATCTGTGCTTAGATTTTGATTTGATGTTGGACTGTTTGATTGAATAGATACTCATTTTTATAAATCACAAACAAGTGAGCAATTTTATTTCAGGTACTTTGTACTTCTGCTTTAACTATCTTAGGAAATGCTAAAATATTAGGACCAGTTTTTCTGTTTGGATCTATGGTCTTACAATCATCACCTGCATTGTAGATTTCTATTTATTTCTAAACTGATTCCACAAGTGGAACTTTCTTCAACATTGGAAGAACTCAGAACACAGGATGGGCATAGAATAATACAACACAAAAACAAAACAAAACAACAAAAAATCTGTGGATAAGAATTGTATTTGCAGGAACAAACTGAGACTATGTCTTGGATTTAACAAAATCTTCCCATCTTCAAGAAAAAGATACAACTCGTGGGTTACCTGATGTTTCAGGGAGGGATTTTATAATTATCATGGAAAGCTTAAAAATATCACAATGATAAATGCCTAAAAAATTGAAGAAACAATATATGGGTGTTAACAAATAGATCAAAGACAAAATTGTATAAATTAAATGTAATTGAAATATATTACAAGGTTCAATTGCAAAAAATTATTCTGTAGTCAACAGGAAAAAAGCACTTGACTTAACCCAAATTGTAATAAAAGTATAAGGATGGGAGAGGGTTAGCATAAGAGAGCTAAAGGCTTCTCTTCAACAGGAAGAAATCAGATAATGTGAAAATGAAAAAAAAGTCTAGAAATAGCAGTTCAACATTTAGAAATATGAAGGCAAAACCAAGAATAGTTAAGAGATGCATTAGAAAAGGTTGCCTCTGGGTATTAGAAATACTTGAGGTTGTGCTTTATATAATTATTTGGCTTTCTAAACTATGTGCATATATAATTTGATGGCTTTAAGTTTATGAAATATGGATTTGAAGCTTGCCTTAAGGTCCTTGTTATTAAGATCCTAGAAGTCAAAACTAATTTCACTCCAAATTTTATCAGAAGATAGTTGTTGATTCTAAAATTAAGATGAGATTTATTTTCACACTTTTCTTTATTCTTTGTATGAATTGATACCCCTTGGTATTTAACACCAAAGTTGACTGAAAAGACATCTTAAGTAAAAGAAAGGCAATAGCCACGTTCCAACTACCATTTACCCCAAACTTAATAGAAAAAAACTCTTTCAGGTTAATCTCAGTACCATTTATCTCATCCTAAACATGTCATTTAAAAAATAAGTTTGACTCTTCTTCATTGATTCAACAGATATTTGAGTGGCTATTCAAAATATAGTTTCATTAAATTCTGTGAGTTTAAAGGATTATATTACATAATTTCTATCTTCATTGAGTTTAAACTAAAGAGACAACATGAAATATGTAATTCATTAAAATAAGATACAAATGTTAAGCAATAAGATAACATAAATGATGTTACACAACATGAATGATGTGTCAAATCGCTAGAAAATCTAAAAATCTAGTGCCAGGAATGAGAGGTTACTGTGGCCTTTTGTAATTAAAGAAACAGGGTTTACATTGTAGTTTGAAAAATGAGATTTCAGAGACAGTCTCCATGGCACTGCTACATTTCTCTTGGAAGCTTTTGTCCTGAACTCTCTTTTTCAAGGAAGTTTGTATAGCGAAAACCTTGGATATTAGGGGAAGTGTCTGCCTCCACAGTATAAGGCAGACTTGTTTCTTGGTCAGGATAATAAGGTAATGTTTCCTTCAGAGGCAAAGTCTCAACAGGTTTATTAGAAAGACCTTGTAAGATTGAGAATTGTCAAAGCTGTGTCACAACTGTGTGTACAGTCTTCACTTGGAATCACCCACAACACCCCAATGATAATTGAGGAAGAGAGGAACCTATGAAAACATGAAGCTCCTACCCCCATTGGAGACATGAGTAATAAAGTCCTTTGTCTCTGACCCAGGAGACTCATGTCGTATGTCAGCATTCATGAAACTATGACAAGCTAACATGTTAGCCAGCAAATAGGGAAAATATCAGACCCTTTACAGTTCTTGACACAGTAGGGTTTAAATAAGTAGAAGAGAGGCCAAAGATACTCCACAATAAACACAGAAAAAAGATTAAGTGAACCCCATACTTGGAATTGTGACTAAAGTGGTGGATTTAAAGGACAAATGAGAACTTAATTGAAAGATGGGCTGTCAGATTGTGTTTAAATTAAACTGCCAGTATTTTCAGACCATAAGAATGATTATCTGCTACTTATGCAAGATACAAAATAAAT